AAGCCTTTCCAGTGTTTCCAAATTTGACTGCAAGTCTATCCTGCTGGGGAACAGAAAGTGCTGGAAAAATGGAGATCTGCACTCATTAAAAGCTCATTAAAAGCACAATGCATCATTTCAGTTTCAATTTTAATTGACAATTAAAATATATAAGTTAACATAACCATTATACTAATTAAACAGCATAGAGGTAATTCTCTTTTGCTGTGCAATTCGTTGTTTATGGCATATTTCTAATGGGCTCAATCATTTTTGTTGCAAATTCACATTTTATACAGTTTATGTATACCGATCATCTTACTTTCCACCAGAGAAATTAGAATATTCTCTCTGATTTCATGTAAACAGCACAATCGGCTCTAAAAGCTAATGACAGAACAGCACAAAATATAATCACACTTCTGTAGATAAAACATGACATGAAATATTTACAGAATAGGTATGATGCAGGATAGCAGAGCACTGGCTTTGCCATGAAACATACTCTGTGATTCTCACTTCCCTCAATAATAAATTCATGAGGCAGCCCTGACTGTAACCCTCTCCGGTACCTACGCTGCTGTCCATTGTAGGTAACCCTGGCTGTGCTGAAGAGATTGTGTTTGTGTGTGCTTTGTATTCATGTGCTGTCTCTGCGTGGGTATATGATCTGGTTGTGTGAACAGAATTTAATATTCTGTGTGTAGGTGTGTATACCACATATGTATTTCCAAATATACAGTACAGAGTATATATATACTCATGTATAGGTGTCATATGTGTGATATTGATTTTTATTATGTGTCTGTGAGATTTAGGGAAGTACAAGAACACATGGGTTGTCAGGCTTTACTGAAGCCCCATATAATTGGGTCCACCAGATGCTGCTTAGAGGCCGTACACAGGACGCATCTTTGTGTTCAAAAACAGCTTCAAAAAAAGACAAAATGGAACAGAATGCAAGTGGTCTCAAGACACGTTTTTGAGTTGAACTATTTTTAACTTGACACCCCGTCTTGAAAACACAATGATCATAGCACACAATGCTGAAAAACACAGCAAAGCCTCGAAACAATGGCCATGGATGCCCAGTCTTTTAATTTAAAAAACAGCACAGACTAAATATGGGAACATACAGCCCTTCAAAAGGACATATTTAAGTTATAATGTTAATTTTGTTTACATATAAAAGAAAATCTCTCTCAGCCAATGCTGTAAACTACAGAAGAATATGGTACATTTAAAAATATCATTTAAAAATTTAACAGCAGGGCCTAAACTATGCAGTTCAGTTGCCATTACACTAGATATCAACCAACACAACCAAAAACTGGTCTGAAGATATATACTTAAGTAAATGCTTGCTTTTAAAACGTCTAAATCAAAACATTTCAAATAAAAATTCACATGAAAGAGTAAACAAAGGTTCTTATAAAGGTGTAACAGTAATGCTCTCTAATAGAAAAATGTGTCTCTGTTTTAAGATTTTAAAGATGTAACTTTTCAGTGCAGCATGCTAAATCTCTCCCTGCAGAGTTGCATTTTATAATTCAACCCATTTAAGTCATGTCTGTATGTCCATAAACAGGTGCAGCAGTAAGTTGTTTATATAGAGGGAGTTATGTGCGTGTGTGCATATCTGTAATATTGCATGTTTTCTTTGAGGTTGTGCCTCTGCAGTTTGTTACAGAGCACAGATGAGATATGAGATGTTTAATAGAGATCAGTTTAAGGTTCTGTTAATGTGTCTGTTCGCAGGGAAATTAAATTAGCTAAATAATTGCCTTGCCAAAAAAAGGCCCTTAGAGATTGTCAAAACAACTCGCAGCCTCCTTTCTTTAAAGCAGGATGATTTTATTCTTTGTATTGTCATAGACTACAAAGACTAATAATGAAATTATGCACTTAAATTAATAATTAATGAACTCACAAAGGGGTTTGTCTTTATATTTTCTTAAAATATTAAGAATATGACTCAGTTCCACAACAATCGGCGTAACCCGAGTGTACGTAGGTGTGTGCGCTGGTGCTTTTTTCTTTGCAAACAGCCTGGTTTTGGTCCCCCACTGAGATCTCCACTGTCGCACCGCTGTGTGATGGAGAAGGGGTGTGTGTGTGTTATACTGGTGGGAGAAATCCCTTTGACTGAAGCAGTGGCCTTGGTCGGCCTCACCTTATCCTCAGGCAAGAACTCTAAAGGAGGCAAGAACAACTGCTAGCGACGTTATGGAAATGCCATCAGGCAAAGGGGCATTACAAAACATTGTTTTATGAACCCATTATTGTACGCTGAAACACACAATCATGCAAACGCACGCATCCACCCACACACACATATACACACAATGAAAATGGCAATACGGGGCATGCCAACATGGGGCCAAATGCTCTGGGCCACAAAGGGAGTAGAGCGAGGAACACAGCTGAGATGGTGGAGATAGAGAAAGACAAATGGAGAGGTTAGGCAGAGAGAGTTCTCAGTGTCTTTCTTTTCTCGGTGTGTTCTCTGAATGTATCATTATCCAAAGCTGAAGTTCTGCATGACAGCGCTTTGGAAACACACTTCATTTACACTAACCTTTCCATTTCCCACACACACTTTCTCGCTTTTTTTGGCGCAGCACATGTCCAGAATTTTCACAACCACATAAATACACTACTGTACAAAAGTTTGGGGTTGGTAAGATGTTTCTACTATTTTTGAAATAATTCTCTTATGCTCACCAATGATGCATTTATTTAATCAAAACAGTAAAAACAATAATACTGTGAATATTAGGGCTGTCAAAAAAATTTTTTAATTTCAAATATTCGTCGAATTTAAAATAAAAATCCACATTCGAATGCAAAAACGTTGCATCCGAATTTTAGGTGTGCGTTAAGGAGACAGCCTTATCAGTGGCGCACGAGACGCGATGACGATGTAAGTGTCGTTGCATTATAATGTTTTTCTTAGCCTATCAAGTTGAAGCCACTAGATGCGGCGCTGCTGTGTTGTTAATGACAAATATTGCGGGAAAAGAGAACATCAATAATATCTTGAGACTTTATGGCGGGGGTTTTCCCCATCCCACTGCATCTCATGTTTTTAAATGAGAAATGTACTCCGTGTGATTGGCTTTCCGTCCTTTGTATTAAACTATGCATACATACATGATGCTGCTTTGTTTATAGTTGTTTAAGCAACTTAATTAATTATAATTGGTTTATAAACATTATTTTAAACATTATGGACTTTTTTCACAGATAGTCATGTTATCTTATGCTTTGAATAAACGTGCATTAGTAATATTTTGCTCGATGTGCCCTCTTGTGGCCTCAGAAGACAAGCCAAAAGCTTTTCTTCACCCTAACTGAAATTATGCATTTTAAATTTGAATATAATTCAAATGTTGATATTTAAGTACAAAATTCGAATTTAGTTTTTCAGCCATTTTGACAGCCCTAGTGAATATTATTAAATTTAAATTAACTGTTTTCTATTTGAATATATTTTCAAATGTAATTTATTCCTGTGATGTTAAAGCTGAATTTTCAGCAGCCATTACTCCAGTCTTCAAGGTCACATGATCCTTCAGAAATCACTGCTGATTTGCTGCTTGAAACATTTCTAATTATATACGTTAAAAACCGTTGTGCTGCTGCTTAATATTTTTGTGGAAATTATGATACATTTTTAGGATTCCAAAAAGAAGTCCAAACGAACTTTACTGTCATTTCAATCAATTTAATGCATCCTTGCTGGAAAAAAAAATACTGACCCCAAACTTTTGAACAATGTATAGTATAGAGTAGTGTATACATAAATATTATTGATAGAAAGCACACTGATATGTCTCATATCAACTAAAATCTGCAAACAAAAGGCTTAAATATGAATTCAAATCAAATCATTTCAATATCAAATTAATAGGGCTATGCCATAGACACTTACTGTGTAGGAGGCATGTCAACAATAGTCTCATTATAGCTTCTTTTAGCAAACAATTTAAAACAAACAAACATCTGAGAATGTTGTGACCGTAAACAGAATTAATGAATTAACAGCAAAAATGATTGGTTTAAACAGATTTTCTCACACTATTAGTTGACCCAATGTTGCTGTTTTGTGCTTGTCAGGATGCTGTAAGCTATGAAAGAGCAGCACCTGAGTCCTAAAACACTGTCTAGGATCACACTATTTATATTTAAAGAAACTTTGAACATCACTGTCAGGCTTTGAATAGTGCTGTATCGCTGCTTCTCAGTTTTCCGGGGTTTTAATTAACGACAGAGGGATTGGTAATCCTCCGTAATCCAAAGAGAAAGAGAAGGAGGCATGCCGTTTGAAGCGAGGGCTGCGAGAAGTTCTCTTTTTGCCCCCTGCGGTATCTGTGCGCTTTAGCTTGTGTTTGTTTGGCGCAGGGCGTAGCACTCTTTCACATTTGTGATTCACTTTGTGTGTACACTGTGGATTTAGCGCTGTCTGTTTCCATTAATGAGGATAAGTGCAGCACTGTTCTCGAGTTCCACTGCATTTGTGTGGCGAGATCTTTAAAGAACGAAAAGGAAAAGGTTGGGGGGGGGGGCAGTACCACACAGGCCTTTAGCTGCAGGTTTTCTGTTTAAGTCAAATAGCAGATGATGGCTGCCTCACCTTCAGAGGAGCAGCAGACGGTTAGAAGAGGTTAAATCAAAATAATTCCACCAAAGACTCTGTCAGAGGTTTCCAGCGGAAGCTTTCGCTTAATGTGCGCTAGCCAAACACGAACTCAAACTAGTCACTGCTAGTCAGGCTAATGCTACATATATCGTTAAGTGTTAATGTCGTCTATCTCATAATGTATGCATAGCTCTTGTGATGAATGGATTTAAGTGGTTTTAAAGACTTTTTAAGGGTTGGTAAATATAAGCGATACACTTTAAAAGGAAGGGGAGTTAAAAGAAATGCTTTCACAGTTTTATGTCTTTCTGCACATTGAATGATTTAAACTAAAATATATGTCTTTTCTCTTCCTTCCCTGTTTTTCTTGTAACTACAGGGCAGAGTCTTGGCTATGGTTTCGTCAACTACATTGACCCAAAAGATGCAGAGAAAGCCATCAACACGTTAAATGGACTCAGACTTCAGACCAAAACTATTAAGGTAAGTAACCACACTAGCAGAACAAATAAAGAACAAACAAACCTGAATTGCATTAAACAGCTTTGCCATCACATTTTAAATTATATTAAAACAGACGTAAATTGTGAAGATATATCACAATATTGGTTTCATTGTATTTTTGATCAAATAAAATGTTTGATGCAAAAAAATCTGTGTATATACAGTATATATATATATATATTTGTCAGTCACAGAAATAAAATGCTGAATTTTAAAATGTTAAATAGAATTACATTTAAAAGTGTGATATTTTACAGTATTACAGTTATTACTGTATTTCTGATAAATTTTTGTTTAAAAAAACAACATTTATTGACCCCATACTTTTGAATGATAGTGTGTGTGTGTGTGTGTGTGTGTGTGTGTGTGTGTGTGTACATACATTATAGTATAGTAATATTACTATAATACACTATAATAATAATAGTAGTAGTAGTAATATTTAATTAAATAAAAATCCTCTTAATTATTTTTGTGTGTACACATTGCTAATGTACAGCATAACATTTTTATGAAGTTAATTTATTAAATGATATGCCAATAAATTAATTGAATGGAATTAACAGATTCTTTAAATCACATTATTTTTGTATGATTACTCACAGTAAAATAACGTAAAAAACAAGAACAGCTGTAATGTGTATTTGTATGCATACCTCAATGTGTATGTTGGGATCAGCGTTCGGGTTCATGTTGTTAGGTTACTGCCTGCCTGTTGTTTACCAAACACTTTTCAGCCAAAGCAACCCACATTACGCTAATTGCAGTAGCGGTCCCCTCTGGAGTCAGCGCCTCTCGCTCAAGGGGACAGCGTTGAGAAGGTTCTCTCAGTGCCTCTCCAGTTAACAGGTCACCCGTACCTGGAATTGAACCTATTTAAACATAACAGATAACAGACGGTAACAGAGCAACATCTCATTTAGGTGGAAGCGTTCTCCTAGTCGCCATTTCTCACGTCTGCACCAGTCAATTCGCCGAATGTTTCCTGCTACCGTTTGTGCCAGTGGAGCTGCAGTGATTAGTACATGTGGCTTACACTGGCTCGTGCTGGGCTGAGGCGCGGCAGCACAAAGAGAGAGGAGGGCAAATCTGACTCATTAAGATGCAGAAGGAAACAGGAAAGCAACTGAAGGAAGAAAAGGGAAAAATAGTGTAATTGATATGTAAATGAATCTCCAAATGTCAAATCATGAAGTCACACAAAAAGAGGGAAATGGCATGTATAATGAAATAATGTGGACGTGCTAAATAGTGTCTGGGTTTTCACTGTGGAAATTTTGATATGTTCTATTCTGTCATGTTCTATTATATTTTATTCCATTTAATTCTGTTCAGACGCATTGGTATTTTGTCATCTATGATGTTTCAATTTTCTGTTCAATTTTATTTGGATATATTTTATTCTGATCTGATGTCACATTATTCTGATCTGCCATGTTCTGTTCTTTGTCATTCTGATGTTCTATTCGATATTATTTTATTGACATCAAATCACATTTTATTCTGTTTGGTTCTGATGTGTTATTTTATATTCCACTGTATTTGGTTTTGTTATATTTTATTATTGTTCTGTTTTATTTGATTTTATTCCCTTTTTTCATTCTACTTCTTTTCTATTGTTCTCTTCAGTTTTGTTATATCAATGTTCGGTTTTATTCCATCTCTGTTATCATTCTATTTTCTGTTCAGTATTGTGATCTGTCATTTTCTGTTCTATTCAATGTTTTAGCAATGTTCTGTTTTATTTCATCTCTATTGTCATTCTATTCTGTTCAGTATTCTGATCTGTCACTTTTTATTCTATTCTTGTGTTGTTTTGTTTTATTACATTTTATTCTCTATTATCATGCTACTCTGTTCAGTATTCTGATCTGCCATTTTCTATTCTATTCTATCCTATTGTCTTATTACATTATTCTCTGTTATCATTCTATTCTGATCTGTCATTTTCTATTCTACTCTGTTTTAAGTTTTATTCCATATTACATTATAATTATTATTCTTTTGTCATTCTACTCTGTTGTCATGTTTTTTGTTCTGATCTGTCATTTTATATTCTATTCAGTTTTGTTATGTTTTATCAATGTTCTGATATTCTATTTGATTCCATTTTATTCTTTTCTGAGTTTTGTTCTATTCTGCTCTGGTCCGATTTCCTCTATTCTTTTCGATTCTACTAATTTCTATTCTATTATTAAAATTAAATCAAGCAATGAAATAGACAGATCCGCCACAATCTGATGGCTTCCATTTTCCTCAACAGTGCTTTGTGGTAAATTTAGAAGCAGCAGCTGGTTTTAACAGTAAATTCTGCCTGCCGCTCACGGCATAAACTGGCTGTGTATGTGTTTTCATCTGGCCTATAATCCCAGACCTCTCACTTACATCCGCCCTAATCTAATCAGATTGGATTTCGCCTGCTTATGAAAACACGGCTCAGTCTGCGCGGCTCAGTACCTCTTAACATAACAGCAAAAGAACGCGTGTGTTTGTGTGTGGGAGCAAGAGAATGAAAAAAGAGAAAGAGGAGAAAGAAAAGACTTGTCAGGGCTGTTTTTGAAAGAGCACAGCACAAAGCTCACAAACATGGGCGTTTTACAGAGTGGCAGCATGTGTATGTGTTGGCCGGCAGTGTTTCTAGTACTGGTTTCAGCATCAGCTAAGAATCCATCAGAGACAGAATGACTCACTCTGTGTGTATTTGCCGATCATCACAGCTTCCTGCCACGTGGCGCTTCTCTCAGTGACAAAACACACTTCCAGGGAGGCAGCGGTACACACATACACATAAACACACAGTTAAAAAACTGCACTTATCGGCCAAACACACCTCAGGATTTTGGTTCCCGTCCTAGGGCTATAACCAAATGACTCTGGAGCTGTTTCTTTTTACTCTCACGCCCCTTTTTTACTGCACAATCCTGAAAAAGACAATGCAGAAAGTAAAATGGCTGCAGTTCAAGTTGTGTGAATCAGTCAAAAACTCCTAAGTTATCAGTTTGAATCATTCTAACAAACCATTTATTCAATCCATCACAGCAGTTACTGAATTAACATCTGACTCACTGAACTGCAAGTCATCACAGCTGTCACTCATCTCGGACTCAAAATAAACCAACATGTTATGGGTACCACACAAGGAAATGAGAATTGTGAGACTTGCTTACATTTGACGTTTCACAACATTTTATATTGATGTTGGGCATCATTTTATTAAAGCAATACTTTTTATAAATACATTTAAAATAGAATGCATTATTTATAATAATAATTTAATATTCATATTATTGTATTATACATTAAATATGATGATCGTTATTATTATTATTAAAGACTGGTATTAAATTTAGTATCATGGTATTGTTTTGAAATCTGAAACACTGAAGTGAGCATACAGCGGTTTGGCCCGAGGGCACAATTTAGTGTAACACAAATTTTCATGCTGTCTGTTGGGGAGTTGTCAAAACCTTGCAGGAATGATGTTGCTGAGCATACTTCTTCTAAACATGTTCAATTTTTCTCTGGCAACATATACACTCCAACAAACACAGACTTTCAAGGAATGAAGCAAGAGTCGTCTTCCATGACTTGGCGTGCCTACATACACAAACAAAACACATACTACTGCTACTGTACGGTTCACACACACATCTCATGCATGATTGATTTTTTTGCTTGCGCACACACAAACATGAATGGAATCGACACAACCAAAAGATGTTCCTGTTTCACACACTGTCTAAACCAAGTGCAAAACGACAAGCAATTTGTCTGTCCACAATGAAAGCAAAATGCTATGTGAAGAAGAATTGTGGACCAATTTCGCACTAGACAGAAGCTACCAAGTGTTACCAGTGGTGCCAGAATGAATTTTGAATGAGTAGGGGGTTTCAAATTAAGGATGGCTATAGCTCATGAATATTAATTATCGAATAGTGATGATTCCGCACTGATTTGAATTTGAGGTACAACATTCAGCAGGTTTTACAGTTGCATCTTTGGAGAAATATCACCTATTTAACATCAAGATACTAGAAATACAGATCGAGATACTAAAAATAAATTCATTTGGAAATTTAAAACAGTTATTTGATTAGAAGTTTCTCTCCTGAAATCTCCATAATCTGATACTTGTTCTTTTCGCTCGGTTCATTAGTCACATTTTTTTGCGCTAAACTTCATCCTAAAACCGACCAGAATACACAAACTCAAATGTAAATTTGCTGTAGTAGGTTTGATGTATGAAGTTTTAGCACTGCATGTTCTCTGATTTTTCCACCTACTTATTACTGTCAATGTTCGTCTCTGGATAAGCACATTTTGATTGTCTGCTCCGGTAATTTACCAAGTCTGCGTATAGACCTGCCTTCTTTTTTTACCTCTATGAAACAGAAAATATAGCAATTTGACATCAGAAATGGTGTGCTTTTAATGCAAGTGATACATATTTTTATATCAGCTGACTATGTTTGGTTGAGTGGGCTAAAAGTCCTTGGGCCCTGAGCAATGCTACAGAAATAGAAACCAAGCGACCGTGTTTCTTGTGGTTGCAGCTGGTAAGGACAAAAACTGCGATTTACACGGAAGAGCTTTGATTGCTTATCGCTTCATCACACCACGCCTGGTCAGGACACGTTGTCACTCCAGTCCGTGTCCTTTGTTAATCATCTAGATCTTTTTATCTCCATATTTTCTCTCTCTTCATCCATCCGTCCATCTCAGCGTGGGTCAGAGAAGCCAATGTCTTTATCTCTTATCTCTGTGATCTCTCTTTTACACCTCTCGCGCTCTCGGCCCTCCCTGCTCGGTCTCCTTTCTCTTGCACTCCATGAAACCTCTTATTCAGACCAGAACCAGCCCTCTCAAAAGATGCTCTTCTGCTGTAATATGGCAAGAAAGAGATGAAATCCTAATAAGTGTGTTCCAAGGTCATCCTTCTCATAAAGCCTCCATCGTAACCCCACCCCCCATCGAGCCGG